CGTACTTACGTTCGGTCGGTCGTCGGCGTTAACGTAACGTAACGAAGACGTAACTAACGTTAGTTAGTACTACGTACAACGAAGTAAGAGACTATATACTCTCCTCCTCCTCTCTCTCTCTCTCTCTCTCTCTCTCTCTCACACACACACACACACACACACACACACACACACACACACACAAACAAAGATTTACGTGCAGGCACACAAACACATACATATTTGCAGAAGGAAACATACCAAACTGATACCCAAACCGCCAGCACGGGTGGATATAAGAAAAATGAAGACAGGAGTTTCAGGTTTGTTGAACTCTTGTATCTGTTGATGCCGTGCAGATGCTGAGGTTTGTCCATCAATCCTACAAAATGAGAGATAGTTTAACATTCAAGTTCTGTGTTAAAACAAATATGCAACATATCCAAGTAATTCGTTATTTCAGAGACCCAAAGAATGATATGGGGGTATCTCTGTGATGCCTGGAGAAACATTAGACTTCAGCATGCCAATTGTATGGGATTAGAGTACACCCACCTTACAGAGGTTTCTATCGGCGACATATTCTACCCTTTCTATGGATGTTCTAGACAAAGTACATTGGTATGAAGTTTGTCAATTTAAGATGTTGTCACAGGCTCATATGAAAGCAGTCAAGCCGGGCCTTTGTTGTGCTATAGGATGAAAGAAAAGATTAAGCAAGAAATCACAGAAAATAAACATAATCTAAAAAATCTCAAATTCCCAACTAATTAATCATCAATACAAACAATAAGCATATGGAGAAAAAATCAACGAGAGAAATATAGACGGAAATCTACGCAAATATTAAATAGGTGCAATGCCAACAACCACTTGGTCCACCCGTTAGTAGTCCTGAGTCCAGTAGAAGTCGTGTGCCAAAGCCCTGTGATCCCAGGTGTCAGCCACTTGGTTTCCAAGACCCAAGGTGGTACAGCCCGTTATTACAGGGAGCGCCTTCCCTAGGGGATACTACGAATCCAGGAACATGGTTCCACATTACTGGAGCTGATCCTCCTTGGGAGCTCAATCCTGATTATATGGGATCTTGATCTCCTTCCCTAGGGGATACTACCAATCCAGGAACATGGTTCCACATTAACATACAATCGGGACTCATGGTATATTCTATGGGCCCTCCTAGGGTGTCAGAACCAATGCTTCGGTCAAGGATTTTTACCTAGAGCAAAATGCAGGAGCAACCGCTCGTGGACTCATTCCCATAGTATTGTATTATGATCAACAAGACCCAAGCTTTTATCATTGATGTTACTAAAGACAGCTGGCTCACAAATCACATAGTCACAGATGATATTTAGGAAATTTCTAAGAACATGGATAGCGCAGCAAGCTGCCTACCTCATCCATATTCAAACAAAATTTGATTGATTGATTGAATGGTGTGGTTGACACCTCACGTCTAATTCAATTTGGAAAGCGGAATCTACACTTTTCTGTGCAAAAAGAGGAATGGGATGCCCCACTTAGAAGCCCCATATTTCATTTAAGGGTGCCATCCTGAAGCCAGTCTTCCAGCAGTGTGCCCAACAACATCTACCTGTATCCCCTCTTCACAGAACATCCATACATCACCCAAACAATTGACCTAGTCAGATCCCACAAGATCCCAAAAGAAATTGGCCAGCCACGTTTTTGTTCACTTCCATTGCTCCAGCAGAAAAAATAGTACCAGCCTGAATGGAACCAGGCTTTGATCAATTGAACATGTCATGTAGTGGCAGGCCGTCCTACACTGATGAACGTCTCCATCTAGGAAAGTATACAGGCTTGACAACCCTTTATTCAAATATTCGAATTTTACCCTGCTTTGCAAGGTGTCTGTAACATCCTCGTTCGATGGCCACAGATTGAGGCTTCGTTGAATAAATGGCACTACAAGTTACTCACCATGAAGATGACAGAATGAACTTCTCCGATGTCTCCATGGAAGAGGGTATCAAAATAAGTTTCTCCATGAGGTTAATCACTATATGAGTTCATGCTGGAGGGCTTTGATGGGGGAATTTTCAGTGTGGTTTTCTCAAGCCCCCTAGTTATTACGCTGCCCAAGTGTCAGTATCATGGAAAAGGAGAAGCTATATTCATGATATATTCCTCTATTGTTGATCTGTAATAGCCCTCCTAAGGTAGAATGTTATATGCCTACCACTTGATGGTTGTTTTAAAATGGTAGATGTACATTTAAGTGCAGGGAAATCTCTCCCTGATTGAGGAGATTCTACGAAATTATGGCAACTTTTGGTGGGTGAGAAAAGATATATAACAGAGGCGAAGAGCATTTCAACATATCTATCCATGTTTGCCATACACAACCACCACAAAAACCATCAAGCACCACAGCAACCAAAAACAGCTAGCCGTTCAATAATGATTTCATGCGCAATGTTATGGTACAAACAGAACCATTGAATAAAATCAAAATAACTCACAGACAAATATGGAAATTTGTGGCCAAGTTATGTTCAATAAACTCTTTAAAGACATAGTACTCAAAATTTAAAACGTAAACTAGCTATATAATTATTCAATATGCAAATTTGTGCATGAAATCTTCAAGATGGCTAGAAAACACCTCATTATTACCTAAAATATGTAAAACCAAGGCAAAATAAGAAGTCCTCCAAAATATCAAGCACCTTAGTCATTTGGGAGAAAATCAACACACGCTCGCCTCTTTCTTTGAATTTTGGAAGCAACTGCAATAAAGAAAAGTATGCAAAGAGTATATTATTATCAATATGTTGCACAAATACTTCATAGGATTGACATTGAAGCATGATGCATGTCAAAAATAACCAGAAAATCTAACAAATCAACCACAACTGGAAAGGAACTTCTCAACCTATTGGATTTTACATGTACAAAGGAAAGAAGAACCAACATCAAACCTTCTCCAACAGTTGAAGCTTTCCAGAGGCTTCTACAAGTGAGTGGAAAGTTTCATCTCTAGATGACTTGAGAGATTCCTGCCCTGGAAAGAGATACTGTAGAATTCATATCAGTTTATTGTTTGATCACCACTGATGACGTGCCCAAGTATAACTTCCCATCAGTAATCAATTTTCAACTCTTCAGTCAAATAGCATACTATATGCATCCAAACGTTGTTCAAACAAAACAACATAATTATATTTCTTTCTGCTTTGGATCTCAAATAGACTGCGGGATCTCCTTTTTCTACTGATTGGGAAACAAGGAACATCCTTTTTGCATTTATTTTATCCTTTTAACCTCTCAGAGGACTACCATAATTGAACCGTATAGTAATACATAGCAGGTGGTTCTCAAAATCATATTAAAAAAAGATTCAAGTGGAACAGATCTACGAAAACTTTCAGTTACTTCACAACAGAAGTCCCTGTGAAATAATCAAAGGTGGTGGTACACCATAAGCTACCATTAATATTGCACAACACACATCTAACTACCTGTGTCGATATACAAGCATGAAACATGTCTTTATTACAATTCGAGTCCAAACACACACTCATTGTCTTTAATTTCACAAAACTATAGTGGGCAGCTTCCCAGGCCCCTTAGACACATTATAAAGAATCAAAGCAGTTGGCAAAGATTTCAATCAAAAATACAAAAACTTAGAATGCTCGATATTTTATTCACTTTCAAATTCTGATATTCAGAACAAGTTCATTATTCTGTGTGAATTTCCATCTACAAGAATCTGCTTTTTGTTTTAAACAATTATCTCCATCCCAAACTCCTAACACCCAATGATGACTACACAAGAAGCAACATAAATGCAATTAATCAATTTGAATCATGATTACCCAATAAGGAGTGAATAATGACTCATTGGTAGTCATTATCAGGGCAACAATGCAAACTTACAAAGTACTTAACACTCAAAAAGTTTCTGTCAAAAGAAACAATTTCCCAAATACACGCATTAAGAAGCAAATCTACGTAACAAAGGATACTGATTTATAAAGTCGATAATGGTTACTATAAGATATTAACATTAGGGACAAATCCAAACTTTGAATATTTGAAGAATTGCAAAAAGAATAAGCCACTTATCATAAGACTGCCAATAATTCAACAAAATATAGATCAGAAGAAAATCCAGCATATACAGGATAGAAACAAAGGAATAGAACACCAAGGAGCAAGAAAGATGTGATGTATAACCAGTTTAGCTGGCCCACATGGAATTCCAAGTCAAGAGTCTACTTACTGGGTGATTGCAGCACTTCCTCAAGTCCATAAGCAGGCTAGTCATGGCTATCCTTCTTCCTAGAAGACATAAAAAACATTTAGAACTGTTAACGAGAATCACCAAGGAGATGAGCCAAATTTAAGGAAACTAAAATACAACAAAAGTTTGAAGTTGCCAGAACATCTCACGACATATAAAATACCAAAAGCTAAAAAGAAAAAATAGTAGAGCCTTGGCAGTACCATCCTTTATTTCAATTAAAACACTATGGAATTCCAAAGAGGAAAGATGGTTTATTAAACAAGACAGCAACTCATATGCTAGTAGCATATTTCTTTACAACATGAGGTGGAAGGCGAGAAAGATGTCTCCATAAGAAAATCCAAACCAGGATCATAGTATAAAAAAGCCCCAGAAAGCATAACTTGCTTATGTACATCGTAGAAGCATAAGACACAAGTGAGGTTGTCACAAAAAATCATAAAGTATTAGGATTCTCATAGTATTGAGAAAATAAAAATAAAAATTTCAGGATGAGGAAGAAGAAACACAAGATACAGCAAAAATTCATGCTTGCGTATTCTGAGAGTCCATGAATTAAGAGATACAAGACATTTCTTCCATTTTCTAATAATTCGCCTTCAATATAATTTTTGACAGCCAAAGTAGGCAACCATCAAGGGGATGCCAAGGTATCATCTCAACGAGGGTTGGACTCCAGTTAAAAGTACAAAATCAGGGTTCACACCATAATCTAGCCAATGTACCACATCTACATTGGCCTTGCTAGACATGACAAAAAGTAATACAACTAGAAATGCAAATGTCAAACAAATAAACAATCAACAATGCCTCTCGCCTCTCTTCTGAAGATGTAAGGTCTATGATAATAGCCTTCGCCTAAGGATAAGAAGAATCTCCAACACCAAATGGGCCAAAAAAAGACAATGACCTCTATCATCTTTGACGAGGCATCCCATGACTTCATTCCCTGATTGAGCAGGCCACCATAAAAGTTAGCTTTAACCACCCTGACACCAGCTGAAAGTTAGTGATGGGGGCATTTAAGGCCAGATTTTCCTGACAGCCTGCCCAATCAGGGATGGAAGCCATGGGGTGTTTTGGCAACCTTTTGAGCTAGGTTCCACTAAATTTTGTATTTCTTTCTGTATCGTTGGGCATTCACCTTTACATTCTCCCATTGTACAGAGAACCCAGGGGTGCACCTCATTTTTGTGATGCACAGAGGAACCCACTCGTGGGGGTTGCCATATTAAAGATTCATAATTCTGCAACTATTTTTCTTAATAGAACAATTAATTTTTCATTAAAAAAAAAAAGATCATCAACTTCTCTTTCGCCCACTAGGCTAGGACCCGAAATCTCCACATGGCTCATAAATGACAGCCCCCCACTCCATCAACAGGTCAATACAATATACTCCAAACTCCAGCCTTGCCAGAACCTCAAAAATAACCCTGTTATAGCAGATCCTTCTTTAATCACCCTTTTCTTGGCATCACTCCTATGAGAATCCACTTATTCCACTCACAGCATCCTCTATTATTTTCTTTTTCTTTTTTCCTTTTTATGTTTTGGCAAATTGAAGGGCATCCACGTTCAGGGAGATCGCAAGATCCCCAACCTGACAAGAGACTGGTAACAGATATAGGTGATGGTAATTTACAACCACCAATATGCCCTAAAAGAAACAAGATATGCTTCACGATACAAAAAGTCTTGCTCAAATACTGAGTCACAAATCGGAGAAAAATTTACGTGATTCACAACTTGCTCAAAGAGTCTCATGAAGGACACTTGATTATCCCGGACTACCAGCGAAACAACCGGCAAGCAGAAGTTTAGATGGACCAAATAAAATTTTTTAGATTCATTCCATGCAATTCATTGGCAAATTAAGTGCCACTGTAAACATTCTTAATCCATCATAACTACAAGAATTTTACAGCTTCAAAAGAAATTCCATACGAAATGAATCATGTACTAGAAACAGGTGATACATTTAGACTTGTGAGTTGTGATTAATTTCTGAACATGCTTGATTGGGCCATTACTTATAAGTTTTGATTGTTTTGCCAATAAAGTAGATCTACCTCAAAGTTGGGGTGAATTTCTATTCTGGAAATCAAGTGCTCCACAAGCAAACAACAACCAGCGAGCGAATAGGAGAGGTCAAGGCACATACAAATATGAGACAACGGATATGGCGATCCATGGAAAACCATTAACTTAAATTATTCAATTCCACAAAAAAGACCTACCATTGAATTCCTTATAGAATGTTTTATAGTTCTTCTTCAACAAGTTAGCATAGATATCTCTCTGAAATTTAGAAAGGGCACAAGGAACTCTGACCCACTTCTTAGGAGGAAGCATTTCACGAAGAACATCTGATTTGACCCTTCTTAACACCCTAAAAAGAAAATAAGAGAAGTATTAAGCAACCTCAAGAAAGAACATAAAGCACAAATATGTGAAGACTGCAAACACAAAACCACCTTTTTCTCAACAGATCTTGAACTTTAGATATGTTTGCAACAGAATCACAAGGAACACCTTCTTCAATGTCCAAGCCAATGGATGCATAAGAACTATAGTCTGTCCTGGAGTCAGGGAATTCTCTCGGATCAAGAAAATTGAGCAATGCAAAAAGCTCAAACAATGTATTCTGGAGTGGAGTCCCCTGGATATATCAAATGAAATCGAAGGTTGAATCATTGTCAAATCCTGAACAAAAACAATTATACATAAAAGAGAAGCTCAATATCATTTCCCATCTAGCTTTATACATTTTGCAATTGCAAAATGTTTTAACATGATAGTGGCCAAGAAAATTCTAGATACCAACAAGGTTTATTCAATATGCATAAAACATAGGCACTGAAAATGTATTCACTGCAGTACATATTCAGCTTCCATATATCAGTTACGGAAATGACAACTTATTAGATAAAACTGAGAATTACATGGAAGGACACCAATCTGAAAAGGCCAACATGAGATGTACATCAGATAAAACCAAGAATCAGATAAAACCATAGTTGTTGTTAGGGATCGAGTGCCCAACCTTTTTGGGTTCTAGCTCGCATCATTTAAGTGTATGTATAGCGCAGGAAAAAAATACTCTTTCAATCAGGGATCTCTATATTTAAAACCAGGAAGAAATGCAACTAGACTAAAAATCTAGGTACCATTAATTGGTTGTTATCTTCGTCCTTAAGGTTGGGATCGAGATCCCTAACAGTAGTTATTCGAGATCCTATCCGTGGGAATTGATATCCCAAAATTCTAAACTCGAGATCCCTTGAAGATCCGCCAAAGCAAGATCCCAGAGAGGGACTGCCAGCTATGTTGGAAGATCCCAGCAAGAAAAACCCCCCTCTAAATCTACATATCCCAAAATACAAATAGGCAAATACTTTTAACTTCCAAAAAAAAAAATACAAATAGTTAAATACTTACAAGAGATCTAATTCCAAAAAAACACATGGACAACAAATTCCAAACAAAGAACAATAAAGAACACAGAAGTTACAGCTCCTACCAGAGAAACACACCATGAAGCTAAGCACGATGTCTCAGGCGTCCATCAGTTAGTGAGAGACTCCATAACAAAAAAGATGGTGAAGTATGAACTTCAAGTAAAGCATTACTGCATATCGCCAGGTTCCATGAAGTACCACACCCCAAAAATGAATAAGCAAAATGCCACAATACCACTTAGATTCAACAAGAAGAATACAAGGAATATCAAGCAAAACCCATGTGATGCAACCAAACAAGTTCCAGAATAAGAAGCTTTTCAATCGACAAATGAAAGTGAACAAAATGCCCAGATTAAAGTAAAAGTAAAAGAACACGAGGCCAAAGTGCCACCATCGCAACATTGACACATGACAGATGAAGTCTCAAAATAACCAGGGATGGAATTAAAAGATTTTTAATACACATGAATCAATGTCCACATTGGGGAATGTGTGGAAGGAATTTCTATAATCTATTCATAGTGATATTTGCCGTAAATCCATTTTTGTAAGGCTAATGGTAAAAATGTAGTCACAAAAAAAAAATGGTAACAACGTAGCTCAAGCAAAAGGCTCCCCTCATTAATTTCTTTTGCATTAATGCTAGTAACCTCGTTTGCTTTACTGGCATGTTTTACCAACAAATCCACTCACAAGGGCAAATCTTATCTTCCACACTGCATTACAGAACTTTCCAGAAGAAAGAAGAAAGCAGAATGAAGAGTCCTTATTATTGTAACAATACCTAGCGTGTATTGTAAAGTCACTTATTGGATAGAGTGAACTGACAAACAGAAAAGGTGAAAACGAGGGTTTCCACTTCTGACAATCCAAAGTAATTAACACAAGTCATTGTGTCAAATACACATAGACATATAGCTGGTCCAAGCAACCTAGTGAAGTTCCAGCCCATGACTGGCTAGGATGAAAACTCAATTTCAACCTAATGTCATAGCTTTCAGCAATTAGGTTACTTTCTAGCTCAGAAAATACTTACCGCATCAAAGAAGTAATTGAATCAAATATCTCATTCACAATACAAGATTACGGTTCTGATTAAGGGGAACGAAATCACATAACTTGATGCACTTTTCCTCTTGTAGGTCACAGATTTGAGGAAAACAGCCTTTAACTCTGGGTTTGAAACTTCTCAGTTTTGCTATTCCCATTAACAACAACAAAACCTAGGGATCAAATTCCCTGCAACGAGTATCAAGGATCACTTTTCCAAAGAGGAAAAATAAAATTTGGCTATGTCAATGGAATTACTTCAGGCCCCACACTCGACCCAGAACCATAACAAAACCATTTAATCAACCATATCCACTTTCTCTAACATAAAATAATATTATAACAATTGACATACATAATTCAATAACAGAATGACAGTACAATTTTTAATGGTATCCTCTGTATTTGTGCTCTAGCCATTATCGACAGACTCTCTCTTCATGCAATCAGCAACTAATAGGAATTCTCCAAATTCCATTCGATCAAGGATTTTAATAAAAAACAAGGCCCTATTTCCTAATTTTTTTATTGTAGCCATTGTCATATACCAATGCAAATGACCTCATCACCGAGGTACTAGCTGATATGGAAATGATTAATGATTGCAAGAGGATAGATTTTCTGCAATGGTAAAAGTTTACCAATATTTATCATAACCGGTAAACATTTACCAATATTTATCACATTATAAAAAGGTCATTGCTTACCAAAAGAAAGGTTTCAATGGCAAATTCAAATTTAAAATAACTATTATCAATAAGGTAAGCACAAGCATTATTCATGCAAGATAGATGATAACGGTGCTTCAAAATCGCCAATATGGATCGGGAATCGCCCAAGAATGTGCCAGTTTTTTGTCTGAATCTAAAATGACCTAATATATCATATATAGATCATACCACAAAGCATAAAGTGCTCATATGCTTAGAGCACTCTGACCTTTGCCGTAAATTCAGAGGTTCCAACCCCCCAGGCCTACTACTTTCTTTAAATTTTAACACGAAGGCCTACGCAATTAGCCTCTCCAAGTAATTTGTAATAGTTCATTTATGACATATTGTACTTTTTTTGGTTTTATAATATTGTATGTTCACTGATCCGGCCAATTTGGATCGGCATTAGTACGTGGGCGATACATTCCACCGATTCATTTTTTAAAAAACATTAGATGATAATAACATATACTACAAAATAACTAAGCTCATGCATAAATTTTCAATAGAACATTCAATTCAACACTATCACCAAAGTTCGAATATTGGGGTACTTTTTCCACTTCCATGTGAAGGTTTTTTTTTTTGGGAGAAAGTTTCCATGTGAAGGTATTTGACTCAAAATGTTAACATTGTAGTACAAATCTCATTCCCTTCTCCATATAAAAGTTCCTGAGGAATAGTACATGGGTTATGGACAATCTCAATGAAATGTCAGTATTACTTCCTAAACATTGATAGACACAAACTAAATGGACCAGTTGAAAGAAGAAAGTAGCCGCCTAGTGAAAGCATCCTGAAAATTTGCCTAAAATAAATGTCCGAACAAGTTTACAAAGGGAAGTGATTTTGAAGTCTGAATATTTGATGTCACGATTGCTCCACATAGAAAACCGCTGGAAGAAGTTCTTCATGGACATGTCCTTGTTATGATCACTAGAATGGTTGAGTTTGTCCTTTTGCAGATAGAACACAGTTAAAACTTTGGCCCTATGAAAGTATCTAATAGCACAATAAAGCCCTGAGAACCACTTTCTTAATCTATTATAGAAGGATGATAATAACTAAGGGATGGGGAAGAAAAGTTCTAATGCCAGTAAGCTAGCATTTCCCTAACAAAGTTCGACACAACCACAAATTCAGCTCAAATGCCCAATCATTTGTATTATCTAATATATTCCATTCATATAGCTAATAAAAATCAAGCCACACTGGATTGGAAATATGAAATTGAGGGCCAACCAGAATGCACACGAGAGCTTTGATAAAAGAAAGGGATGGTCATAATAACAAGAAAGCCTATCCATTGCAAAAAAAAATTAATTCCAGTTAACAAATCAACAACAACAATGTACCACGCAAATCAAACTGTAGAACACAATGAACTAAGAGTAACAAGAATCAGGAAATAGAACTTACAGTCAACAGCAAGCGAAAATCTGTATCATAATTCTTGAGGAGTGTAGTGAGCTTGCAATCAATATTTTTCAGCTTGTGACCCTCGTCAACTATAAAAGGCAAAGGAACAAGAATAAAATGACAAAAAGTTAGAAATATAATTAGGCAGCAATATAAATCAAGAAACCAGGCAGGAATACTAATTCAAAACCACATCGACATAAACCAAGTTACTAATAGAAATGAAAAATGCATCAAATTTCTTCAAGGAACGCAAAAGGAAGAGGAGAATATATGAAGGCTAGAAACATCTCCTTTATGATGAATCGAAAAATTGTAATAGCTACACCAGTAAAATTCTTAGTCATTTACGTATGAACCAGCAAAATAACACAACTCAAGCTGATCAACCTAAAACTTTTTTAGATCTCTAATGTGCATAAACAACTTTTATTACATATACAATGTTATCAATGTCGAACCCAGGACATCCATAGATCTCCAGTAGTAAAAGATGCAATGTCAAAGGATAATGATAAAAGAGTTTCCAAAACATATATATGTTATTGAGAACTTACCTGTTTGTATATTCCTGTTTCTGGAAAAAGGTGATGATAAATGCAATAGATAAATGTCTACTTTCAGCAATAACTAATAATATCTGTATTGGTTGATTTGCTCTTCCAATAATCCTAAAAAGAAAATGTCAAAGCAACTTTCTACATTTGGTCTTTGTAGCCTAGAAGGAAGACAGGTTTTAACAATATCAAAACTCAAAAAACATTTACAAAAATTCTACACAAAAAAAGGTAGGCATCGTGAAAACTTGACTACTATCCTTCCCATTCATGTAGACCTTTATAAACTTATCGCTGCCCAGACCAATCACAAGTGGCTTCCAAGCCCTTAAAATATAAAAGGTGACCAAGTGTCATGACTACAAAAACACTCAATAGACCTCCGAGAAAAGCCCAATGGCAAGTGTTAAAAGAAAGTATAAAGGTTTACACAATGAGGATAAGATGGATATATTAAGACTTGAGAACAAAAAGGGCAATATAGAAAGGATCATTCTGTACCAGCTGCAGAGATGATTATTATCATGACACCAATTGCTCTAGTGACCAATAAGTCACAGTCTAGCATCCAAAATTGTTTAAGAAGCAGGATATACGTTCAGAGTTTAATTGAGTGGTTACATAGGCGGTGATGTCATCTGTCCCCAGATAGATAGATTAGGCTCTGTCCCACCTGCCAGAACAATTTCTGACGTGAAGATCTCATTAGTGGGATTGTCACATTTCCCCATACTTAAAAAATGATCATTTTTACAGAGGGTGCAATTAGTTATTAAGGCCATAATTTGTAAATGGTACAATTGTAGCTTACAACCATTTGATCAATGACATTTGATAGGGTAAGGAACAGATCCCTGCTGTAAGGGTGGTTCTGCAATTAGACCCACTATGCACGTCATTTAAGTCTATGTATTTGAGCATGGATTTTCGTTGACTCTTCATTCTTCAATTGAAATAAGATCATTTCAAAATTTAGGCCTAAGCACAATACATATTTAAGGCTTTAAAACTACACATAAAAGGAGGGGGGGAAGACAAAAAGTCATCAGCAAAAATTTCAGCAGCAACATATGCAAATCAATACAGAAATGACATGGACATAGAAATTCCGCAACCAACAAGATACATATAATTCAAAGGAGATATTTGAGAGCAGTTCACTAAGTACAAACCTATGATAGCTGACCACCGAAACTTCCGTAACTTAGTGTTATCCTGAAGAATAAGTTCGTAATTTGTTACTAAAGCGTCAAATAGAACTCCTTTCTTAGATGAGTAGAACTCATGTTCTCGAATATACTTGCGAGACTGTCTTTCTCCTTGATAAACGATAACATTTAGATCTTCAGCCCATGATCGGAACTCCTGAGAAACAATGGACATAGAAATTGAGAAAAAAAAAAATAAAACAAAAAATACTTACTCCAATCAAATTGACAAAAGCCACAATTGGTTGTCGAAAGTCGTCTTTTGCAACTACTCCAAGTTCCAAAAAGTATTGGGTAGAATAACTTTTGATATTGTAATAAATTATTGGAAATGTTGAAATTTTATTCAGTCTTGAGAAAGATCTCAACATCACAAATTTTTTACTCTCTCTCTCTCTCTCTCTTCTCTCTTCTCTCTCTCTCTCTCTCTCTCCTCTCTCACTCCTCACTCCACTCACTCACTCTACTACTACTACTACTACTACTAC